CGGCAGTACTTCCCCCGTTCTTAACCTCGTCCTTCGTCTGTGGTCTTCCGCAAGGAGCAGTAATTCCGCTTGCAAAAACAAACAAGCAAAAAGCACTTGGACAATTGATAAAGTGAGCGCAGCTCTGAGGGCATCCATGATGCCGGCTAGTGTAAACACAGGTCGCGCACGTGATGTCAGCATTTTTTTGTTGCGGAAAGTGACGTTGCGGACCTTAAAACTCCGGTTTTGTCTGTCCACACGCAGACACCCAAAACGGAGAAAACGCAGATCTTCACTTTGGCCGGAGTTTTTAAAAAGATCCGTTTTCGTGTGAAAAAACTCCGTTTTGGTGTGGATGACAGGCCAAAACGTAGAAAAATATCTACGTTTTGGCAGATCCCCGGCTACGTGTGGACAGGGCCTTAGTTGCCACCAATTAGTCCAGTTGTGTTTATTAATTTTCCTTGGTGTAAATTCATTTGTTAACTTTTAAACACCTGAGCGTGTGTCCTCCTTGTTACCCCAGGCTACCTAGACAGCCTGGATCGTAACACCGTGACCTCTGAAGTCTCGAGGGATCTTGTGATCTCACGAGTCTAGCAAGGAGGAAGCGAGGAAGCTGTTTCACGGCCAAGACTCTCCCGGTGTGTACTGGAATGCATTGAAGCTTACTTCCTGATATTTGGACATCTCACCTCTGATTGGCTAACAGCAACACAACACTACCACTGACTCTGTTTGCTCTGCAACGTGGAAGTTTTCTCTCTGCAAATAACACAAGCCTTGAGGATTTCTGCAGTGCGGTGGAGTTGCTAATGCTAATGGTTAGCTTCTGTCAGTTTATTGTTAATACGCGCAATGCTTCTGGAATCCACCAAGCTCGGCAGTTCAGATCAGGCCAGACAGGAATTTAAAAACATGTAAAGCATCCAGTAATTTTCAAAATAAAAGAGCAGATTTTCTATTGCATAACTAGTAAACAAAATGTCATTACTCGTGACACCTTTGTGGCTGAGGTAAAAAGAATAGAAAAGAAACCACAGACCTTTGGATACGTGCTGCTGTTTTTCTCCTTGCTTAATATCCTATATCCGAAATCACGCGTGATCTTGCATTTCTCCTGTGATTTCATGATCTCCTGGGACCAGCTGCGGGGAAAGAAAAGAAATGCACCTCTGAGGTGAAAACGCATGCGTTACAATAAACACAGTTTTCGCATCTGGTGCAAAGCCTGGGTGATGTAAAACTAGATTGATAAACTCATCATTGAAAAAAACATCTAAAGGAATAGTGAGAGAAGCCCTGTGATCTGTGTAGATAAACTGTCTCCCTGCACTGTGATCCTCCTCGCATCTCAACGTCATTAACTTTAACGGTGTTTTGCCTTAAAGTCTGTGCTGTGAAAAAATATGAGATTTAACTCGATTATTAGCAGAAATCAGCAGAAAAAGATCAAGTGTTTAGTAAGCTAATAAGAATGCATCACATCTCAACATGTGAAATTCAATGACTGCTTTTGATGTTTTAGTTACTCGGCACTGCAGCCTGCAGAAGCATCTTTTTAAGCTAAGCTTGTGAAAATCTGGCCATGAGGGAGTTAAAACTCCAATTCTTCTGGATAGCTGTTGTTGGAAGAACGTAGTCCCTCGGTGGGAGCTAAAACAAACAGCCCTAGTATAACTAGTATAACCCTAACCTCCCCAAGCAACCAACTTTGAAGGTTGCAACACTTCAGACAAAGAACGTGGGGAGAGGTAACTTTAGGTTTTGATAGCTACTAACCTTTTCAAATCATCTGGCAGTAGCTCATGAGCACACGTTCTATCCTCCCTGCAGTCCATTTGTCTCAAATTAGGAATTTCCAAAGAATTCCAGCAAAGTTGATGTCAGTTTAGCAAACGGTGCTTGTTCAACAACTACTTAAAACACAGCAGCGGGGACAGGTTAACGGATGAATGATTTCCAAGGTGTCTCTGAGGTCTTAAAGGTAAAAATCCCTATTTGTCTGGATCTGGAGTCGTATCAACACACCGTGTGATGTTTCCTGCAGATTTATTCTGGAATCCCTCGCACACCTCCTTCTCTTTTCATAAAGAATGTTCAAACCAGGCCTTGGATCTGGCAAGGAGTGATTGTGCATGCGTGTGTGTGTGTGTGTGTGTGTCCCGTGCAGTCATGTCAACAGAGCAATCATTCACGTAGAGCAGAGTATACACTTAGAGGGTTTAACTGTGCCGGCAGGTGATGATGGACAAGCCTTTCGGGGAATAAGTGAGGGAAAGGAGGGGAGGGAGGGAGACGGATGGATGGAAAAGCAGGATTCAGGAAAGCCCTTTGTGTAATTGCCTTTACAAATGTAGGCTGCAGATGCGAAAGCTAAAACGTTACACAAAAAGAAAGAATGAGAAGAGGGCTTAGCTGTTTATCTGCTGCATTGTCACCCAGGCTGGGCTGAGAGCCAGGACTGAACACTCCACCGGTCTAGGAGAGAACAAACCTCTTAATTGCCTCCTCCATCTTTCCAGCCCTCTTTTTTTGTTGTTGGCTTAGAAGACAGGTACCGGAAACACTTATTCATTAACCCTCTCAGGCTCAAAAGAGGTTTTGATAAAAGGACGAACAACTAAGTCCTTCAGGGGTACTTCTGAGTTAAAAAAATGCTCATGACATACGTTTGTGGGGATAGGTAGGTTTTAATGTTGCAAATCTGCAACGCCTGCCTCCAGAGGGTTAACAACCTGGGGCTTTTAGTCTCAGCGAAGCGCTCTTCAAGGTATGAGGGAAACTCAAGAGATGAGTGTGTATGCATGTGTGTTTGTGAGGAAACAAGAGGTGAGGGGGCCAAAGGGTGAGGGCCATGTGTTGCTTTGGTGACCCAGGGTCCTCCAACAGATGAGGGGAGTGCTGGTGAAGGAGATCTTAACAACATTACAACTCAATGAACTGTGTCATTTAGAAGCAACTATTGGGTGGGCGCATTTGTTTTGCAAAGTGATTTTTCATTTGAATTCTTTGGCAGGATAAAAGCACTTGGAGCACTTTTGTGAAAAATGAGGCATTCAACGTTTTTTTTAATGCAACAACTTTGGTCCAGATTCCTGATGTCGTCCGTGGACGACACGCGGAGCAGTTTACAGCCTTTTGCTTTGTGTTCTCATGAAACAACATAAAAAAGCCAAGTCCAGTTAGGAGAAGCTCAAGTCATGAAACGCAGCACCCGAGCACCGAGGTTTCCCAACGCACCCAGTCACATGTTAGATGTCGGACGGCCTTATTTGCTCTGTTTGGACAGCAACCAGAAGAGTTTGGTGCTTTTATTGGCTTTAAAAGATAATTACATGCCTACTGCCCGTCTCTTAAAGCTGATCCAGGGTCAGCGGGTTTCTTAGCCCTGCTTTAGTTCCGCTCATGGCATGGGAGAGCAGTTTTTCTTTTTGTTGTGATTAAAAACAACCGAAGGGACACCATTGTGCAATGAGGGTGCCTTTCTGAGTGTGAGGAATAAATAGCTGCCTGCCACCCATGCAGCCGACTCTAACCCTGTCCAGCGTCGCTGCAGCGAGCTCAAGGCCACGTGCCCTTTTTCATTACTCCAAACAGGCCAGTATTGTAACTACGACCAATTTCCTTGCAGTCTATAAAGCTGTCAATCAAAACCATTCAGATTAGGGAGTGGAGGAGGGAGTTGCAGGGGCGGAGCTGGGTGGGCTTTAGGGGCTGCAGGGCTCGAATCCAGATGTCAGAGTTTTACACAAGAGGAGGAGGAAGAGGTAGATTTGAGACAAGAGGAGGTCACAATAGTGACTGCTAGCATCATTGCACTGGGGCAAAATTTTACATCCTCCTGCATGTGTTCATGGCCCTGCAGGGCAACACCCCCATATCTAGCTGCGTTGCTGCACAGGCACGATCCATGTTGATGTCTTTGCTCGTCTGAGCAACAGTTTCAGGAGTTCGAGCCTTTTCAGGTGAAGGAACGGGTTCCCGTTAGCCATTGTCAGGCTCTGAAGCTTCAAGTGTTTAAAAGTGGCCTGAAGACTCGCTTTTACTTGCTTAGCCTTCCTACAACATGGATCATGATTTTGACCTGATACCTGTTGTGTTATATTTCATTTTTGATGAAATACTTGGCCTTTCGGTACGCTACACTCTTTAACTTTTATGTGAGGTAGTTTTTATCACATCATTTAATGATTACTATTTTATTTTTTTATGGATGTGATGTTCTAGCCTTACAAGCCATCCTATACAGTGTTTATATGTAAATATATACCCACAGACAGAGCTCCGGTGTGGTGGTGCAATCTACGATTGTCATTTAAATTGTCTCTGCATGCAATTGGACAGCTCTAGGACCAATAAGAGAAACAACGTGGCTTGTTCATAGGGGCAGTCCGCTATATTTCGTCGAAGAATTTCCTTTATCTGCTTATGTCTCAAAGAAAAGTCTAAATCTTCCATAGTTGATGCCAAAGGTGTTTCTGAGCCAACGCCATCTTTGTAGTTTTGTAGCATCTCTGGTGCTAAGCCCACCAAACGTCTCTCAACACACAGAGTGTTGTGATTGCATGGAACAAAAATTGTTCGGACCAATGGTAGACCTGCTGAGGCTGCAATGAAGCATGGCTAGATGCAGAGGGCGCCCCCAAGGGGTGGCCATGGCCACCCCACTGTCCACACCCAGTGAAGACCAGTGTTCTTGAACAAGTCATATTAATGTTAACTTTTTAAATGAGATTTAATAAAGGAGCATTTATTGCATCACTACAGGCTAAAATTTCCCAGATTTACCACAAGGACTTGGTGTGCCACCCCAAAATTTTCTCTGGCCCCATGACCACCCTTATAAAACTTTTCTGGGAGCTCCACTAGCTAGACGACCTGCAGAGCAGCATAGTTTTGCTACCGTTTGGGTTTGTCTAGTTTTCCAGGCTAGTGGTGTTCAGCACTTAGTAGAAAATCTGACTTGATTGACATTTACTCGTAGGACAATCAACTCACACTCAGACAAAAATCGCTCTTTTTTAAATTTCCATTTATTAAAGTTATGAACAAAGAGACAAATAAGTTATATTTTCATTTGTTAGAATTCTATCAGTGTTTGAACATTAATATTTAGAGAGCTAGTACAATTTTCTACTTTCATGGCTAGCTTCTGACAAAACCCATAGAAACAGCTCTCTCTCTCTCTCTCTCTCTCTCTCTCTCCTAAGAATCCAAACTTAATACTGAAGGGGAGGTGGCAATGTTGTCTCACATGACAGTTAGCAATGAAACTGTGCACCTTAAGGCTTTTTTCTGTTACTGTATATCAATACATATAAACTCTTTAGAAATATACTTCTGTCAAACACCTTGACAACTACTATGTACACTACAAAAATAAATTTTCATATAAATAAATTATATGGCATACATTTATCTTTGTAACTGAAAACAGCATAAATCCACGCCAACCGAGACCAAAATGGCAGTCTGAAAGTCTGAATTTTTTCCTTTTCAAATCCTCTAAGAGCTATGATGAGATCTGAAGTGTAAAATGTTATATACTCTTTTTTCCTATTTAACATTAGTAAGCACTTTATACAGATCAACTCCATTAATGTAAAAAAAAACATTAAACTGTAATAGTGTTTTTTTTCTCAATAGACATAAAAATCCCTGCATTTGTTATCCACTGGCATCTCAACAATAATAAAAAAACATGTTTTATATTACAAAAATATAAATATCACAATTAAACAAAAAAACATATAGAAATGAATAAAATAGTTGCCAGCTATGAGTCGCTCCTCTGCTGCCAATGTGACAGCGGGAGGAGACTAAACAAAATGAACAGAATAACCTATTTCCTGCAAGCAGCTGATGTAACAGGAGGGGAAAACTGACCCACACAAATATGGCGCGGCATGGGGGCCAAAATTAAGACTACTGCCCAGCAGCAGGAGGCTATATAAATTCTGAAGCAAACTACCGACCTGATTAATGATAAGCTGGTGCCGGTAACTGAGAGGCTGGCGCTGCTTACTGAGAAATAGCACCTTTACCGGCGTTATTACTAGATACGCTAGGTACTAGCAGCCCTCGGCTGGTCATTGACTGGTTCACACACTCCCTCTGCTGTCTATTAGCATGGATAGGTTAGCGTTAGCCTGGACGGGCTGGTGTTAGCATTGGAGAGGCTAGCCATTAGCGTGCCTAGGCTGGCCACTAGCTGGATTTCCTACCCCCTTGACGGACCATTAGCATGGATAGGCTGGCGTTAGCATCGGAAAGACTAGCCATTAGCGTGCCTAGGCTGGCCACTAGCTGACTAGTGACTCTCTGAGACATGCTAATGGCTAGCCTCTCCAATGCTAATGCCAGCCTATTCATGCTAATGGTCCGTCAAGGGGGTAGGAAATCCAGCTAGTGGCATGCCTAGGCACGCTAATGGCTAGCCTCTCCGATGCTAATGCCAGCCTATCCATGCTAATGGTCCATCGAGGAGGTAGGAAATCCAGCTAGTGGCCAGCCTAGGCACGCTAATGGCTAGCCTCTCTGATGCTAATGCCAGCCTATCCATGCTAATGGTCCGTCGAGGAGGTAGGAAATCCAGCTAGTGGCCAGCCTAGACACGCTAATGGCTAGCCTCTCAATGCTAACACCAGCTCGTCCAGGCTAACGCTAGCCTTTTCATGCTAATAGACAGCAGAGGGAGTGTGTGAACCAGTCAATGACCAGCCGAGGACTGCTAGTCACTAGTGTATCTAGTAATAATGCTGGTAAAGGTACTATTTCTCAGTAAGCAGCGCCAGCCTCTCAGTTATCGGCACCATCTTATCATTAATCAGGTCGGTAGTTTGCTTCAGAATTTATATAGCCTCCTGCTGCTGGGCAGTAGTCTTAATTTTGGCCCCCATACCGTGCCATAAACAAAAAGAAACTTTGAGGAAGAGCTAGAAGGAAGTGAAGGTGTCAACATGGTGATGTGGAGGGAGTAAGAGCGGGGGGTGGGGGGGGGGGGGGGGGTAAGTGTGGCGGGTGGAGGGGTTGCAGGTGCGCCTGCTGGCACATGCAGATTTAAACTGGCCATAGCTGGTGAAGGAGGAGGAGGAGGCTGGTGGACTAAAGCGCTAACCCCATCCGCCCCCATCCCACCCCGAGGCTCAGGCTTGTGCAATTTAGCAGCTGAGGGGAGACATCCAATTAGTGTCATGGCCTTAAGTTGTGGATTTTTACAAGCTGAGGTCAATGGGGACAGCTGCGGTGCAAACTAGGACCAGTTGTCTTTACTGTCATTGGGGGGGTGGGGGGCAAGCAGCGGTCTAGCTTATTGAACGGAAGAGTAAGAGCTACTACAGATGAGACATTTCTGTGAATGAACATGCAGTCAAGTGCCATGTTGGATCGGGTCATACAGTATACAGTCTGAACTTTAGCTTATCGGTGAAGGCAAAGCCACTCTAGGCGCAGAGGTAGCACCTTGTTTGGACCCTGTTCCAGAATCTGCGACGTGAAGATCCCCGTAAAAGGTAGAGTTGATTTCTGAGGTGGGTAGACGACACATAACCCGTTTTTGAGCCTGCCAGGGTTTAACGACACATAACCTCGTACAGTAAAAACACAACCAGCCTAACGAGACAGTGATACAGAGCTGAGTGCAGAAACAGGTTTGAAGGCAAAAACTTGGGAGAACCAAAAGAGAAGAAATAAAACAAAAAAAATTCTTCATGTCAGCTCATCTTAAATAGCACGCATGGCGTGTCAAGTTAAAACAATATTTCTTTCATAACTACCACAGGTTTGTGATAAAAATTTATAGTTTTACAAGCGTACCTGTACACACACACGCACGCACGCACACACACACACACACACACACACACACACACACACACACACACACACACACACACACACACACACTTGCTTTGACTGATAATTCTCTTTCCCTCTTGTTTGAAGTATTAGTATGTTCAGTTGTTTCTAATGAATAAGCCAGAAAATAATGGAGCTGTTTCACATTAAACAGCTTTACACACACACACACACACACACACACACACACACACACACACACACACACACACACACACACACACACACACACACACACACACACACACATTCATGTACCCAGACAGATCACTACTTTTAAGTAGGCAGTTGCATAGTGTTATAAATGTACATTAATAATTAGAAGACTTTATATTTTGAGCAGCAACAGTGAATGCTGACAGGTATATATTTTTTTCTAGATAACACTTCCTAATGGCACAGATCCACACACACACACACACACACACACACACACACACACACACACACACACACACACACACACACACACTTACAAAATGACAGCCCCTGTCTATTAACAAGAGGATTTGTACAGCTCCTAGAATTATACCTATTTTTTGTTCATATTTACATATGTGTACAACTTATAAATATAGATAGACATATCTATGACAACAGTCCAATAGGTTACAGTAACAACAAGCACCATTATTGAAACACTGGCGAGCTTCTCGCTATGGGGGGTGGGAGCGAGCGAGGTTGGGCTAAGCTGGGTCAGTTGCTTAGTAATACAGAGAAGTCCATCTTTGGCCATAGTGCGCCTGTTCTCCGAAACTGCAAATAGAATGAAATAAATTGTTATTCCTTGTTGTAAAGGTGTTAACACAATAAAAGGTATCAAAAAAAGTGCTACTAAGGAAGTTGAGGTCTCACCTCAGCTACCCTGTCCTCCACGGTTGCTCTCAGCTGCCTCTGACTCCAAATCTTGGAGCTCCATGGCCTCCATCTTGACTTCTCTGGCCTCTGTGTGAGTGTAAATTGGCACGTGGGGGTCTTGGAAGGTTGCCTCTGGCTCCTCTGGCCCCGATGGGCCGTAACTGTCTGCTGCAGTGTATTCTGGGTAAGAAGAGGCTGGGCTCTGGGCGGAGAAGGGGGCAGGGTGAACGGCGACGGTTACTGAGGCTGATGCTGTTACCGTGGTGATGGGCTGACAGAACGAGGCGGTGCCGGGGTGTTGGTGTGGGAGGTGGTGATGAGGCTGAGGGTTGGGGGAGGAGCAGCCCTGGTGGCCTGCTGAGTGTTCTCTGTGGCCGGGCGGGCCGTGATAGCCCCCAGCCTCAGTAGCAGTGCCAAAAGCGTCTGTGCGCGGGCGGGCCGGGGGCGGGGCTTGCCGGCGCCGCTGGCTCCTACGGTCCCTGCTGCTGTTGTGTTGCGTAGTCCCCGAATCACAGCGCTGAGAGGGAAAAGACTGCAGGGCAAGATAGTAAAGCATTATGACAACATCTGTAAGTCTGCATTTAGAATAAAAATTGCATAAAAATTGTATTTTCTCACTGATGACATGGTATAGGCTGGAGGATTATGCTGTCTGGGAGGTAAACGTCTGTGCCCTGATCCCTCTCTTCTTTCATTCTCCGTCCTGGCAGCTCTACCCCTGCTGGTTTGGAGGTGGTACTGCTGCTCCTCAGCCCTGTGCGAGTGCAGGTTGTAATCCTGCATCGCCTGGCTGATTCCAGATGCTGTTGTGTTAGAGCTGTACTCTGAGTCTGACGAGTCTGTAACTGCCCCTGAGGTGGTGGTGGTGGTGGTGGCCCCAGTGGTTTGGGGAGGACGAACCGAGAAGCGTACCACTCTAGATGGGGCCTCTGGAGATGGGCTAGGTAGGCGACTGCAACCATCAGCTGGCGATACCTTAAAAACAGCAATAAAATTAGGGCATCTTGTAAAGAGCTGTAACACCTTGATTACAAAGTATCGGCTTTTAATTTGTGAATCTTACCTCTGGATACGGTCCAAAGTATGACAATAACACTGGGAGAAGGACCAATCCATTCAGTACTCCAAGAACTGTTAGGATGGCTAACACTGCGAAGAAATACCTGCAATAAAATCCAGAAACACATGAATCAAGATGTCAGTTTTTAAAACGAGCTTGAAAAAGAAAGCATGCACTGTTTTTGGCTTCCTTAAAGGTGCATAATGTAAGAGAGACATCCTGTGGTCAAATTTGGGTACTGCAGTCGAGGCATCACGAAAAATGAGTCCACTCTCAACAAATGTTGCCAGTTACAGGTCAGTGCCCGAATATTCTAGATCACAAATATTGAGTTGCTGGAGCAGACTATTGTATTTGGAATTCACTGTTATCCGGTTTTACACCGGAAGTATCAGCGGTGCGAAACGGCTGCGGGACGATTTACTCGCTTACGTCAAAGCAGTTCATTTCACACATTGGTACCGTTTCCTTGCTGTGCTTTAAACTGGACTTGCGAGATCACAAGATCGCTTGAGACTTCAACGGTCACTGCTTATTTATGCCATCCGCCATTTAACCAAAATGAAGGAAATCACGTTTGATATCGCTGTTTGATGTCATATGATGTTGTTCATCTCCACTGCCAGGAACAAAGCCATGAAAAGCACACCTCTGCACATCTGGAACGATACTGGGAGTAAATAAGCCGTTGGGTCACAAGTAAGCTTCATAAATATGAAATTGCATCGCTGCGGTACTTTTATTTTGAAAATTACCAGGCATTTTACACTGAAACCGTATGCGATTTCCTGTCTAGCCCTATGTTAACTGCGAAAATTGGCGTGTCCCAGAAGGGGCTTGTGGCAAAAACAGAACCGGACTCTGACTTTAGCGGTGCGGTGCGTCGCTTGTGGGACGCGCCTGGAAATTGCTGCATTGCTGCTGGTTTTAAATACCCCATAGAATATAATGGATTCTATTTGCAGCAGTGCCGTTCTGCTGCCATTTACCCAATATTAGACGGGAAAAAAAAATGCCACGGCTTTTTGGGTTACAAGAGATAACTTCTGGGTTGCTCCTGTTACTGGCCTCCATTCCATCCACAACGCTGCTGCCTTTTGCCGGCCAGTGCCAAATTACAAATGCCAGAGCAGTGTTTGTGTTGACAGCTTGGGGCTGGCGTATGATTGGCTCTGGAACGAGGAAGAATGGAGGCGGGACAGATTGTAAATAAAAACTTCAACCTTTATAAAGAAGAAAAAACTGGCAAACTCCCAGCTGGCTGAGAATTAGATCTGTTTCAGCGTAACCTTCCATCCAGCGTGATTGAAACATTAGACTGTTTTGTGATTAGTTCGCTGCAGAATTCTTACTTATTGCACCTTTAAAGATATAAGGCAAATACTGACTAAAAATATAAAATCTAACACCTGGATAAGAAAATACACACAAAAAAATTAAAAGAAATGTTCAGACCAGCATAAACCTAAATGAATACCTGTGCAGACCACAGGTGTTTAGACATGGGGAGACGTGCGAGATCAACCGCAGCACATGCCCGAAATAATACTGCCACAAAGACACCAGCCATTCCCCAAACAATCACACATGGAGAAACCCCCCACAGACAGGCGGGCAGGCATGCAGCACCGCGTCTTTGAGGAACAGAGTATATATGTTGATGAGCAGAACAGAAAGGTACCTTGTGTGCGCCTAAGTCCTGGGTTAGTCTTTAAGAAGCCGCAGAGAGAAAAGAAAGAGGAAGCATAATTAGCCAGAGCTGGTTAATTCAAAGGCACTGGAAGAAAGGGAGGGGGGGGGGTGTATAGGGAACGAGCATGGGACACTCTCTTGGGTGTGTGGTGTATAAGCAAACATGGGGAAAACAAGGCAGAGAGGAATGTGAAGGGAGGGGAGTAAAAGGAGATTGAAGGGGGGGGGGGGGGCACTGGGGGTATTAGAGGTGGTGGTGGTGGGGGGGGGCACAAGAGGACAGGAGCCTCTCTCTTTTCTGAAAAAGAGGGGGGGGGGGGGCGAGAGAAAGAGAAAGAGAATTTAGTCTAGGAAGAAGAGAAGGGACCCTCAGAGCACCACCCCTCCCCGGCCTCTCTCCCTCCTTTCTTTTATTTCTTTCTCCATCTCCTCTGCCTCGCTTTTCTCTCCCCTCCTTCCAGCTAAGCTCCTGTGAAATTCCCGGCCACTTCACAATCCCCTCCGTCTAATTAAATATCCAACGTATCAGGTAAGACCCCGCAAACTCCACTCCACCCATCTCTCACGTCCAGCCTCTTGCATCAGGGCTCTTCACTTTGGCTAGGTGAACCTCCAACCCTCTTTTTTTTTATTTTTTTTTTAGATTTTTGACTTTGATGTTGTTTTGAGGATGAGTGGATGCAAAATGGGACTAACCTGTGGTTTAGAAGTGCCTTCTGTGCAGAAAGGACCCTATTCCTTAGAAACTACAATTATAACGAACCGTTTTGTCTTGCATATGTTAAGATGAGGAGTTACAAGGATACATATTTGGACCTTATTATCTCGATTTGGTTTAAGCCTTGTGGCCTTGGCTAAATTCTGCTTCTGAATGGTTGACCACAAACCAGCGGGTGACTTCCTTGTGCTATATGCAGATTGATAAACAAACTGTTTTATTTCAGTGCTGATATAAAAACCGTTTCAAAGTGAACCTTTACTTAAATCACTGCACGATATTTTAAAAATGTGTTTACGCAACGTCAATTGAACGTAGTCAAACAATTTTACAAAGCCCTCCAATAACTGCTCCAGTTTGTTGAAAGGTAATGCAAGGACAGGAATCATTTGTGTTGGTGTTATACTGAAAAATTAAAGACGGTTCAGGGAGGTTCTGCTCAGACACGTGAAAAGAGAGTTACAGTAGTCTAAGCGTGAGGAGATGAAGGTGTGGATAACTGTCTCAAGTTCAGAGCGGAACAGAATGGGACTCAGCTTAGCAACGTTCCTGAGATGGAAGAAGGAAGAGCGAACAAGAGAACTGACATGAGAATCCAGGGTGAGAGCTGGGTCAAAAGTCACGCCAAGATTCCTGACAGAAGGTTTGGTGTGAGAAGCAAGCTGACCAAGAGAGTGTCTGACTTTGGGAACCAGCTTGTCTGGGGCACAGATGAGGATCTCAGTCTTATCTTCATTCAGCTGAAGAAAGCTCCCAGCCATCCAGGTTTTGATGGAGTCTAAGCAGATATGTAACAGCTGCAGCTTAGACATCTCATGGGGCTTAAAGGAGATGTATAGTTGGATATCATCTGCATAAAGATGGTAGGAGGTTCCTTTGAAGGAGCTCAGGATGTGCTGAAGAGGAAGCAGATAGAGGAGGAAGAGCAAAGGCCCCAGCACAGAACCTTGTGGGACACCATGGGTAAGAGAGGTGGTGGAGGACCTAAACTTGGAGACGGCCACAGAAAAGGAGCGCTCAGAGAGATAAGAGGAGAACCACTCCAGAGCAGATCCTGATAGGCCTACCCAGTCTCTCAGCCTCTCCAGTAGCAGGTGATGGTCAACAGTGTCAAAGGCTGCAGTCAGGTCCAGCAGGACCAGAACAAAACAGTCCCCTGCATCACTGTGAGTCAGAAGGTCATTAGAGACCCTAAGAAGAGCTGTTTCAGTAGAATGAGCTCTACAAAAACCTGACTGGAAGCTATCATAGATGTTCTGTTCATCAAGAGCAGCTGTGAGCTGTTTAGCCACAACCTTTTCCAAGATCTTGGAGATGAACGGAAGTTTAGAGATGGGTCTGAAGCTGCTATGGAGAGAAGCGTCAAGACTTTTTTAAGCAGCGGGTGGATTACAGCATTCTTAAAGTAAGCAGGGACCTGACCAGAATCCAGAGAAGCATTAATTATAGAGAGCACGCTGGGACCGACGGACTGAAAAGCACTTTTAAACAAAGATGAGGGTAAGATGCCGAGGGGGCATGCAGAGGTCTTCATAGAGTTAACTAGTTTGGTTAACTCAGGCAAAGAGACAGGAGCAAAGCTATCTAGGATGATGGGCCTGGTTGGAGTCGGGAGAGGCGGCGATAAGGCTGAAGGAGAGATGCTAGATCTAACCTTACTGACTTTGTCCACAAAGAAAGACAGAAAGTTCTCACAGTCTGCAACAGAGTGGATGGAGGCTGTAGGAGAGGCAGGAGAGACGATGCTGCTGATGGTGTTAAACAGCACCTTGGGGTTCCCTTTGCTCTGGGACACCAGGTTGGAAAAGTAGGAAACCCTAGCGTCTCTGACTGCAGAGTTAAAGGATGTCAGAAGATCCTTTAGGTGCAGCAGATGGACGTGGAGATGGGTTTTCTTCCACAAGCACTAGTACTAATTGTATTCTGATTAGTCACAATAACAAATGAAGACGCCAGCTGTGATAATAAATATAATAAAGGATTTAATAACAACTGCTCTAGTATTAAGTGTGAGATATCTCAGAATCCCTAAAAACCTGAGGTGGCCTTTTTAACATGTATTAGGCAGACTAGATATGTAGTCCAGATAGCTATAATTCAATTGTTCCTAGTAGAAATTAACATTCCAAATATCCATAAAAACATTGTTACTGAATGAACCTTTCAGATATCTGACATTCTCTGCCATTCCTGGATGCTAAATCAATGACAGCCTTCCCCGCCACGAGCCAAGACGGGTGAGTCCATGAATGTTGAGTGACAGTGGGACATGGATCTGACGGGATTTTCAGAACTGAGTGCTTTTCTGTCTATTTCCTATCAGAAACGAATGCAGGACATATGAGACTATTTTCACGTTCGGCCTGCAAAGACAGGGATCGATCATTTTCAATGTAGCTTCATGAATGTCCTGTTTAAGACCTAAAGGTCATGATCTGCTGTGTCTGCTTGAGCAGAGACACAAAGTCTCTGACAGCCTAATCTACAGGAGATAGTGGCCAAGGTCTTTCATGCACTCTGCTCATCTGACCTGCTTCACCTCTGTTACCAAGCGAAGACAAGAACTATTTTGATAAATACATAATCAACAACTTTGCTAATTACCAATAACGCGCCTCGACAGGAGCGGAGAAACAAGCGTCTGGTCTGAACTGAGGAGCAGCGGCCGAATTTCGTGAGCGCTTCGCCTCCCGGCGCTTCGGCAGCCGGTGTGTCCCCGGCGTAAACTAGATTCTGGATCATTGACAAACATTTAGTTTTCCATAAATTTTGGAAGCTTTCTAAATTCCAAACGTATTAGTCAATAGGAACATTTTATGTATGATCGAACTGATTTTATTTCTCCCTGGGAAATATGCTGACCACACACACACACACACACACACACACACAAACACACACACACACACATGTAAATCAAAGACTGTGTCATTGCTATACACATACACACTGTACATGCACATGGGCAGCCCACATGCCACGCAGAATGTCCCGCCGCGCTGTTTACAGTAAAAACATTCACAGGGCTGATGGAGAAAGTCAGGGAAACATTTCTTTCGACGCAAGCATAAAAATACGAACAGGGCCTGTTGTTATTGCACCGTCTTGGTGCGCCGCTTTGTTTGCTCTGACAACAGCAGGAACTTTAAATGGAGGCCCCAGATTGAGCCAGAAACCAGAGCGCAGCACCCCCCCCGGAGGTGAAGAGTAAAGGTCTACGGGCCTCTGAAGGTTGTGTGTTTCTATCTGAGTGTGTGTGTGTACATGTGCGCTCTCACTGGCAAGCACGCCTTCATTGACCCCGATGATTACAGGGTCAGGGAGCAAGTTGGTGTGTCTGCGTCCATATGGAGGGGACTGTGTGTACATACATGTGCACACAACATAGTTTGGATCACATGGAGCTCTCAGTTCTTAAAGCGGCGGGTCAAGTGAATTTGAAGACTTCTAAAGATTCAAAATGCATAGAATTTCTCTCTTCCTGTCCGCATGCATTAGCAGCCACCGAACCAGGATCTTCACAGGGTATCATTGCTTTAATTTCCATCTCTTGCATCTTCCCAAATCCATCTTTTGTCACCCCTCCAAATACCTCGTAGGGACAGTTATTTCATTGCAGAAGGCAACACAATCCTTAATACTTCCCTGCTTCACTCTTACCCCTACCTCACACTGAAGGCATCAGCGGAGCTGAACGGCAGTGGAATGATTTACTCGTGACGTTTGCTGCGTGCCAGTACACACTGGGAGAATCTCAGCCTCGGACCAGCTTCTTTGCCGTGCTCCTCGCTGGACTTGTGAGATCACGAAATCCCTCGAGACTTCAAAGTTCACAGTTTGTTTATCCCATCCGCCATTAAACCAGAAAGAAGAAAATCAAGTTTGATTTTGCTGTTTGATGTCATTTAGGATGTTGCTCCTCTTCACAGGATTATGGCTTTGAAAAACACACAGCTGCACTGTTAAGTCACATATATGGATGTAATCTACATAAAAGTGAACGGCAGCTTCAATTGTAGGCTCGTGCACGAGGTGCGCATGCTGTACGTGCACACTCCTGAATAACAGCTGAGACAGTCCCGTGTGTGTGTGTGTTTGTGTGTGTGTGTGGCCAAGAGGACAGAGGACAGGAGAACGCGCAGCTAATTAATGAAATAATTTGGTTCTGTACCTTTCTCTTCAGCACAGCCGACAAAGGTTTATGATGGGTCAGTCCTCCTGCATGCTCAGATCATTCCCTTCCCTTGCTTGAAAAATTGTTTCAAAATGAAAGTTGAACCCACATCTTTTTTATCTGTGAATTCAATGCCGTTCGGCGAGTCTCAAATAAAAATTTGGGCATCTTACTGTAAAAAAAATATACCATTAATGTAAAAAAGAAACTAAATAAACTATGTTCACATCCAGAATCAAACCCAGGTCTTCTGCATGGGAGTCACACATCTTACAAGGTGAGCTACACTCCAGTAGCATTCGCAGTGTCTGTAACATTTATATCCTTGATGACAGCTGAAACAACGTCAATCCAAAGAACGGTTCAAAACAAAAATGGCTATTTTGTTGCAAATTTGCAGGAAATATCTAGAAGAAAGTTCTACAGAAAGTAGCTAAGGGTCCTCAGAAATGTAGCTAGCTTTGTCACTAGGCGTTAGGAACAGCGACAAAGTGGCACTGCCTCTCTCTCTGCTGCTAAAGCTACGGATAGCAAACGCTACGGGCTATGCCTGAGCGTGAACGCGCATGAAGCAGCCTGCTCGACCCGAGCATCTCTCTTTTTCTGTGATTTTACAGAAAAACAGGCAATCACAGTAAAAATGCCAGGGCTCATTCTACAGGACCAGGGCATTGCAGGAGAATGTATGAAGAAGAAATTTATTATTTCTATACATGTTTTGGCTGTCAAACTTCCATAACGTCCCTTTAACTGTGTAAATTAGCGTGTCCCAGAAGCATCCCACGGAAAAAAACCTGATCCTGTCTTTAGTGGTGTGAAAATGTCCTCATCGCAGCTGGTTTGAATCACCACCGTAGACTATAATGGATTCTGATATGAAGCAGTGACGTTCCACTGCCGTTCCGTGCCGGCCGATGCTTCCAGTGTGAAGAAGTAGGGGTTGCACTTGATTTCCTACTTGTCAACTCTTTTCAACCCCTCTTCCTCTTCCTCTTCCTAACCTTGAACACTCCATCCTTCTCCAGATCTTCTTTGAAATGTCAGACATGAGAGACATTTAGCAGAAAAGGAACAAAGGAACGTCTGGTGAACGAAGAAGGAAGAATATAAAATCTCATTTAAAAGAGCCTCTCCCAAAAACGGACATGAAAAGAAATCCAAGAAAACAGTTGGGTTTTGAAAGAGGAAGGGAATGCAATGGGAATGTGGGTGATTGAAGAAGGAAACAAGAGAAGAGAGAAGCCTCCATGCATGACTGGAGTCTCAGGGGGCATTCCAGGGACATACAGGTTGAGGCGCGGTCTTCACTGACTTTGGACGCCACTTAAGTGCCACATGACAGCCCTGAAACGACTTAACGTAGCAATTCCATCTGTTGCTTGCGTTTTGCACTGACCTGACAATGAAGTCAAACTCTGAGCCAGCGAGCATTAGGACACCTAATAAAGTGGAAAAGGCTCCATCAAGCACCGGTGCAAACATGTGCTCCAAAGCCAGCACCGCTCGCTTGTGACGGTCCCCTATGGCCGTCAGGAATGCCTACAACACACAAACACAGGGAGTCAGCCTCACACTCAGGGGCATTACTTAACCCTGAACAATTCACATGAAAAGTAAGAAGGTCTGAACGAACAGTCAACATCTCTTCATTTGCTAGGCTTACCAGAGCCACGTGGACGGTGAACTCCACTCCGATGCCTACCGAGGCGATGAGAATCACAACAGGGACAGCGCTCAGCTTGATTCCCATCAGCCCCATGAAGCCAAACAGCTCTACTGTCATGAGAGAAAGCACCAACACCTGAGGAGGGAAACAGTCAGTTGTAGTTTAATTAGGAGAGAAACAGACAATTAGCATTGTTTCCTGTGTAACACTTGACTACGCACAAATGAGATGGGGAGTGCAAGGCCGCATGTGGTTGTGATAAAATCCATGACAGTGGCTCATAAACAGGTTAGGTTGTAGCCATACATGTGGGTAAAATGTGTGTGTGGAGGCAGGATAGGACAGGAGTAAATGCCATTATCAGCTGACAGGTGTTAGGTTCCAGGGGGCCTGAATCCTTTGAAGAGGTCTGATGTGGTCAGTGGAGGTAGCTGTCGAAAGGCTGTGAGCAGAGGTGGAAAGAGTACTAAAATTTCCTACTTAAGTACGAGTACCAATACTTTGATAATTTTTTTACTCAAGTACAAGTAAAAGTACTTGCCTAAATTTTTACTCAAGTAAAAGTAAAAGTATCGTAAATAAAATGTACTCAAAGGCGCGGGCTTCAACCCATGAGAGGAGGGAGGGAGGAAGTAAACAGCGAGTGGATCACAGGGACTGAACTGATGTTTTGGAGCAGATGTGCACCCCCAACCCCCCCCCCCCCGGTTTAGACGCGGCGCTCATGCGTGTCTCTTTCAGTTCTGACGCCGCTACACGCAATATTTTTAATTTATTAAGCCTACAATTTTTTTTTACTCAGTAACGAACATGATTAAAAATGTAGCGAATTACAATTCTTAAAAAAAAACATACTCAAGTAAAAGAAAAAGTATAAATATACAAAAAAGTTACTCAATTACAGTAACGTGAGTAAATGTAATTCGTTACTTTCCACCTCTGGCTGTGAGTGCATAAACTTTATTCTTTTGGACAACTAGGTGGGCAAAAACATTAAAGGATCATGAAAAATATTTGATTACATTTTTACTTTTTGTGATTAAAGAAGTGGTTCACCCGTTTAATGAATATATTCGCAGTGGTCTCTAGAAGGAATGAATGCCTTGTAAGTCGTACTCTGGGGGAAAATGCTCTGGTGCGCCTGTTTCAGGAACTAGGAGTGAGCCACATCAGAGCTGAGCTTCAGACGGCAGGATTTCGAGTCTTATTTCCTGATATTTAGACATTTTGCCTCTGATTTGCTAACAAAAACACAACTCTACCACTGAATCTGATTGCTCTGCAACAAATATCACAGCCTGAAGGAGTTCTGCCAGGTGGTGGAGTTGCTAATGCTAATGTTAGCTTCTACTAGTCGAGACGTTCTCTGCTGTTTCCTGGATGCTAAACCAACAACAGCCTTCCCCGTCGTGAGTCAAGATGGGTGAGTGCATGAATGTTAAATGACAGTGTGATGCATATCTGAGAGGATTTCAAATCCTAGTTTCACCATCTATTTTCTATCAGAAGCTAACACAGGAGATGGATGTTTGAGACTACTTTCATGTTCAGCCTACATGAAAAACTCATAGTGACCAATTATAATCAGAAATAATCATTAAAATGTTTTTTTTTCAGTGTTCCACACCTTTAAAATCACTAAAATTGCATATATTGTTCATTTTGTCAAGTGAATAAGATCCAGTCTGTCTTTATCTAAACAAAACTTAAGTCGGCTTGAGTTTTAGACAAAAAGCTTTGAGGTAATGAGTATGTTTACATGCAGCCAATATCCGGGTTATGATCGGGTTAAGGTCGGTATTCGGGTTTCTGAGTTGATCAGAATAACCCGTTTACAAGCATAAATAGAAAGAGTTACCCCTAACTTGCATAACCCGATTTAAATGCGGACGTTGGGGTAGCGTCAGGACGTGTGGACTACGTCAAGACGCAATATGCGTCATATTTTGCTGTCTCTGTACTTTCGGCCGTCAACAAAAGACATAATGTTCATACTTTTCACCAGACCGATGAAGACAGAGGTTTCCTCGTCACTCCAAAAGTGTGGTGCTGTGCCGCGACTCGCCATGTTGCTCCCAACTTGTTGTTTACTTCCGGAGTTCTGGCGCATACAAGACGTCTCGCTACTCTAAAGACCAAGATTCCTTGCGAACAGAGCATGCGCAGAACACACGATTTGATGGGGATATCCCGGTATGCGTTTACACGACCAAACATTCGGGTTAGAAAAGGGTTACCCCAGGTTATGAGCATATCCGGGTTTATGGAGGTGTTGACATGGCCGTGCGGAACTGGGTTATTTTGAATATTCGGGTTTTAAAAGGGTTACTGGCCGCATGTAAACGCACTCAGTGTTTTTAGAATCGGGCTGAAGTCTTCTCCCTTACACCTCTCCACAAGGAGCCCTTTGATCTTGCTTGTAAAGTCTGAAGGATGAACATGAATTCCCCTCCTCCCTTGTTTCAAGGCTTCAGGTGGCCGGGCCGCTGCCTGTTATAAAACACAACCTACCAGAAAGCAGAACTTGGGTCTTCCGAGTGAATTATGTACTTGTGTGTTGACACATCCACACAGCGTGTGTGCACGTGCAAGCACACACACACACCCATGACCACTCGATGTGTGTTTATGTGCTTGTATATGCAAATGGGTGCTTGAGAGGAGCAGTAAAGGACAAGAGGGGAGGATGATGATGATGATGATAAAAGAGAAGGAGCTTGTATGAGAAGCAACAGTGTCCTCTGTTTCAGCTCTGATGTGTGGGAGGTTTGGACTACAGAGAAGATAAACACGAGTGACGGGTTAAAATCACTACCAGCATCCCCTTTTTACCGAGAATCTTCCTTAGATGAATCCCTTGTCTGATTTTGATCTTCACAACTACATATTACACATTTTTGATATATTCCAACAAGCAAGGCCATCTTTGTTTTTGGAACTTACTATGATGCCAGCAGTCCATGGGTTGAGCAGAAAAAGGGCGCAGACCAGAAAGGTGCAGGCGAGCACAACGCTGATGGAGAGGAGGAGCCAGTGGCGTAGACTAACGTACTGCTCCCAGAACAGGAAAGGGTAGCCGTTGGGGTAGGAGGGCAAGCCTTGTTGGCTGTAGTTGTTGCAGATTTCCCGCACGCTCTCGATGGCCTCCACGAACTGTGGCGTCTCCCGGAGCCCGTTGAGGTAGAAGGGGAACTGTGTGTATTCGATGGGCTCTGCAGCGGGAACTAGACGGAGATGCAATCAGAGGAAAGCAGCTCTAAGGACAGATGCTTTGTGGAGCAAACATTAAATTTCAGCAGTGGCAACTACAATATATGAAATATTACGAGATAAAGTAGAATTTAGTTTGAATTATTTGGTGAAGTTGCAGAAAGACATCTCAAACACGGAGGCTTACCCTGCCTAATTCTTTTACTAAGAGAAGCTACATCTGTGGGCGAATGTGTGTTTGTGTGTGTGTGTGTGTGTGTGTGTGTGTGTGGTGGGGGTGGGAGAGGTGTGTGTGAAACAGAACTCCATTGACTCAAAACTAGCCAGTCTGTGACCAAGGCTGACTAATGAGGGCCTATCAGTTCCAGACACAGCAGACTGTCAGAGCTCACGTTGATTCACAGTAATTACAATGTCAGGATCACTGCCATTACCACACCCTAAACACAGCACCACCACATAAAAACATAATATAGATGCGCCGGCACGTATACCTGCCTGCCACTCGGCCGCGAAGTCACAACTCGGGGTTTTATTCAGAAAAATTAGCAGTCAGCTCGTCTCTTTGAACCGCCTTAGCCTTCGTGGATTAGTCAGCAACTTCTTGTCTACCCTTCAACTGTTTTTTTCCCCGCCAATAAAAAAGAAAAACGATGGAAATGGTTCCAGTTGAATTAACCAACATGATACTAAAATGATATAAACAAGTGTTTCCCTTAAAGTAAGATTCATCGTTCTTAGTTGTACCAAATCACGAGCTAGACACGAATAACGGCGTGCTTTTTGTGTGATGTGTGTTGGGTTTCGGTAAAGAAACAAGAGCAGCCTGTGTGTTGCGTTTGGGGTCATCGAGTTTCAATAACGTGTGCGTGTTTGTGCGTGAATGCGTGTGTAATGCTAAGGCCCTGGGGCAGTCAAAATTATACTGTTCACCACAGGAACAACATTGGTTAGTGTTCGTCTTCCGCTTGACAACCTAAGTACATACACACACACACACGTGTGTGTGCACGCACGCACGAACAGACAGTGCCCTTGTACAGTAAAGGCTGCAACCTCACGTTGAGCTGAGTGGAGGACAAAAAGCAACACGTCCAACCACAAGAGGTAAACACAACTCTCACTGGAGCCTAAGTAAGCTAAAGGCTGAGACTTTATTACATTCTAAGTTATTATAAATGCTGACATACTGTTGAGACGTGTCTCGGGCATGGAGTCGGTTCGGTCGTGGATCCACTCAGGAGGGTGTGGATGGATGTTGGCCTGTGAGGCAGCATACGCCACAGGATCATTGCTGACCCAGGCGGTTAGGTAGATGTAAAAAGCTCCAGGGTTGATGATCCCATCTGCATCCACGAGTCTCTGACGAGTCAACTACAAAGAGTACACAGAAGGTTAGGTATACTGGTGTACTTTCAATCATGCAAGCTTAAACAATACTCTGCTATGGTAAGTAATTAAAGTGACAATGTGTATTTTTACCATTAGTCTTTGGAAATATCCATTGAAATAATGTTGAAAATGAATAAAATGACGGCCAGTCGTTGAGAAATTTTGACAGCTTCGAAACATAACCATACATATTGTGTTTAAAGTAGAGGCCGACCGGCCGATAAATTAATTTTTTTTCTATATCGGCCATCGGCCCAAATAATTTTTAAAAGCCATTAAAAAAATTAATTAAAATCAGACACCTGTGTGGCCAACTGCCACCACTACTAGACTGAAGGAAGGACCATAAGGACCCAACACCATTTTTTTTTAAATGTTTTATTTTACATTTGAAGTTTAATAAATATTAAGAGATTTATTGACTTATTTAATTCATATCGCACACTGAGTGTTCAGTTGTGTTTCACAATCAATGTGCTACTAAAACGTATATATGTATGTATATATATATATATATATATATATATATATATATATATATATATATATATATATATATATATATATATATATATATATATCGGCCTTAACAATTGGCTTCAGATATCGGCCATCGGCAACAAAATTCTTAAAAAACCATATCGGTCGGTCTCTAGTCTAAAGTACATGGGGAGTGGGTCAAGCATCTTTGGGGACACCATATTAGACACCATGTTTTCATCTGGCTGGCTCGGGGTCCTGCACCTGTCGATGCAGACGATTGGCTGGACATACAGTAGGATTTACAGAAGTTAGGTTACCACGTTCCAAAATATTAGGCAGTAAGAAAATTCTATTTAATAAAAAAAACTTCTAAACTCTTTCCATAATCTATGTGAAAGAACAGAATCAAAAAAGAGATGCAATATATTCTGGCCTAGTGGTATTGCCGTTGTCGGTACAGGGTCGGCTCGGGGTCCTTCGACTGCCGATGACGTCAAAGTAGTTGATTGGCTGAACGTGAAGCTTACGGAAGTGACGTTACCACGTTGTGATTTTGATTGGTCAGAACAAATTTGCGGTCGTAGTCTTAGCGGTTGTAGTCCTGTATTCCAAAAATCAACACTTTTTGGAGAAAAATATGTTTGAATTTCTAAAGGAAATGTAAAATATAATCAAATGATAAACGGTGACCCTCAAACGCTCTTGATGTTGATGAAATGGGGCAAAATAAAATACAAGAACTTTATTGAAAGACACCAAGCAATATTTAGAGTCAAAGAATGTATTTAGATAACAACTAAGGAAATATACAGACGAACTCCACATTAATACAAACAGATATGGCTTCACATATTAGAACTGCTCTATTTTTTGTCAGTCCGATGTTGGTTTTATGCGGTTTCACGTTCTTTACAAAACAAAGATAATATGGTGTTTTATTAACAAATTACAATTATGAAGAAAACATTTAGGTGTTTACAAACAAGAATTTATTAACAAAACTGCTGATGTCTTTCCAAAACGTGTGTGTGCAAGCCGAGTAGATTTGCAGTGATGTGACGTCATCGGCAGTCTAAGGACCCCGAGCCGATCCTGCACCCGAGCAGATCCTGTACCGACACCGTAGTATGATGACGTCATCAGCAGGCGCAGGACCCCGAGCACATCTGGAAACTCCATCGCCAGAAAACTACAATCAGCTTTGCATTCTCTCGGTGGAATTAACTGAAGGGCTATCCAAGTCTGAGGAGTCACGCTGAGGTGGCATACTTTCTGCTCCACAGGTAACAACATTTACAGTAATGTTTGAAACCACCGACAGTCGTGGCGATATGGTGCAAAACTACCCTGAAATATATGTACTGCCCTCTAGTGCCAGGAAACTACACACTGTCACTTTAAACTTTATGTTCTCATTGACAAAAAACTGAATAATTCACAAATACAAAAAGAAGAAATGAAAATACTGTGGTACGTGCAGCTGTTGAGTATATTCTGGAAATGAATAGACATGTTAAATCACAACATCTCACAGGTGAGCCAACCACAGAAATGCTTCTTTACACACATGCATGAGTGCAAGAAAACGAAGCCCCGTTCAAAATCGGGAAAAATGTCAGCCTGTCTCTCTTTCCGACCAAAGAAAAATCAACAAGTCCAACACTGGTTACCTTTCTGAACATTTCTGTACCTCTGATTGCAGCTTCCCAGAATGATCACACCACATTAAAACATGGAAAATGCTGAGTCAGTGTCTTAGTATTTTTAAACAGTAGATGGCCAACCTCAGGCCGAAACGCCCTGACCACTCTCAATGCGTTTCTGGGGAGGGAGCCCTGCAGCTCCCTCCTGTCAGGAGGCTCCAGCTGTTGATGGTTTTAATGGTCCAGACGTCTTTAATTATACCAGCGAGAGGAGTTTTTGTAAAGTTGTTGGGTCTGTTTCAGAAAATGGAGTAAAGTTAGATAATATTAAGGCAATAAAGCTATGGATGTCTGTTTAAGCCTGCTTCAGGTCAACCGTTATTGTTGGCATCAAAATTTAGAATAGAATAGAATTTATTGATCCTACAGTGGGGAAATTCACTTATTACAGCAGACACAAACGCTTAAGATAATGCTTTGAAGGAAAAATAATAACAAAGGCACATGTACACACAGGCAGTAAGCTATTATTGTACCCTTCGACCACTAAATAAACACGAATAAAAATGAAAAACTTTGCAGCATACTGTCTGCTGTTATATACTACGGTATTGTACAAGTACCGGTACACATACTGAGTATTGCATTTGTATTGTATTTTTGTACAGTTTATGAATATTTATTCCCATGAACTGTACTTAAACATCCATATATGTTCAAAGAAGGAAGTGTTTTTGGTAGAAGTCTGTAGGAGAATTTAGTTTTATTCATAAAATGTCGTTTATGTCCTCCACAGAACAAGTTGCAATAATTATAATCACTTTACACAAACAATTATAAAATTAGATATCGATGCAAATAGAGAACAAAAAGTAACGCACTTTTTGGACTGAGATTTTATCAGATTAGAAGTTTCATAAGTAAAACCTTTTCAATTTTAGCATTTTTAGGCATCGAGCTTGTAACTTATTTTTAGATAAGGTTTTAGAATTTGAATTTTATTAAAAGAAGTTTAACACCGTCAGAAAAAAGAGAGACATTAGTAAAACGGATTCCTGGAAAACTCAGTTAAACAAAAAAAAAAAAAAAAAAAAAAAAATCTGTTTTTCTGAACATCTGCACCCACTTACAAAACACATGACTATGTGTAAAACATAGTACTTAAAGTTCCCACACTCTATGTGAGTGGAGCTACAGGTCTTTACCAAAAGTGTCTGAACTGACACTGAAACATGGAATTTAAATGGAAAATAGTAATAAAAATGCCTAAATTCAATATTTATAACTGCTAGTTTATTTTAAAAATGAGGTAAAATAATGCTGGTTCACTGTGTTTAAGTTTTTAAAACTAAAACTACAATGCAGCCAGTAGCTTATTAAAAATTTGGCAGTTTTGGCTCACTTTTAGCACCCCCTAGTGTCCGTTAGTAAAACTAAAAGTAAAACTCATCGCTATGTGCTTGCGTTTTTAACACGTTAATCTAACTGCTGAAATGTCTCCTCGGCTTTCATTAGTTTCTACAGGAGTGGTTCATCACTAAATCAAACCAATCAGCAGCACCGGTCCGAGTTACTCTGGTGCTCCTGGGAAACTAGCTTAAGACTAAAGTGGGACTAAACAGGGACTGGACCGGCAACTCTGAAGTTGCAAGTGTGGTATTCTGGCCACGGGGCGGTGAGGTCTGAGTGACCTTTCATTAACCCTGTAGCGGGCCATTCTAGCACAAACTGGCTGACGAAAATTATTTTAAAAATTGAAAAAGTTGCATAGTACGGCCTTAAATGCAAGTGTTTTTTTATTGCAATTGAAACTAATTATGAGAAGAAAAGTTTAGTAGCACTGCTGTGTGCTTAAAAAAGAGCATTTAGGCAAAACCACATCAGTGAAATAACGTCTCATAATCACATCACTAATGCAGCAATTTCCTACTGCTGTGATTCTCACACATATGGCAATAAAACCCTTTTGATTCTGATTAGCTTGAATTAATTAGAAGAAAAAGCTAAAAACTGTGACTTTCTGGTTCATTCATAACTGACAAAATTGATTAAAAAGTTTATAAATTTAGATCTTTTGTGGAAATGAGAAATTTCTTTTCTTTTCTTGTGAAATCTAAGGACTCCAGTCTAGTTTAGCCACCCTCTGACACCTAAAACCGTTGCTGTACTGCTCTGCCACTCAACCGCTTAGGAAGCATAAATCTAACTTCCACAGAGCCGAGGAGAGCTTTCAGAGGTGAAGCTGGACTCGGTGGGTCATGTGGATGAAAAAAGAAGCTTTCTTTGTGGTTGGGGAGTAAGGAGGGAAAATTTGCTTGAGTTAGCGTAACAATAAAAAAATTGGCTCGTGTCCCTGGGCGCGTCTGTGTGCAGTTAACCTGGTTGTTAACACTGGAGGAAATGCCACCCAGCAAATGGAGTAGAGCTATAAAAATAACACAACATCTGTACAAATGTTGCTCACACTTGGTCCTCCTGACCCCTATGGGTACCCAGAATGCCTGGCGCCACAAACTCACCCAGCCCTAAAAACAAAAAGAGCTCTTGATAGCATTAGCATGTTCTTTCTGTAAGATTTTCCAACCTCCGCCTCCTCTCCACGCTCACCTCCTTCTGCATTCACTCACCAGAACTTCACCTTCTCTGTTGCCTTGCTGTCGAACCGCACGGAACGAACGGTCGTCACGCTAACATGATGACTCGATTCAAAGGCAGAGCGCTTCTGTACACACCCTTAAGGTGGCATATCAAAATAAAACATTGAAGTTTGAATATCAACAGGGTCTGTAAAGATCTGGTCCTCGTTTTGAGACACAGAAAACAGCTACTGAACAAAAAAAAAAGCAGTAAGATACATTCAAACCATACAAATGCAAGCAGAGAGCTGGCTCAAAGGAAAGCACGTGTTTCAGCTGGCCTCCAACGGAGGAGGACACAGCAGCGGAGCACAGAGGGCAGGAGTTTGCGGCGGTAAGTCGGAGAGAAGGGAGCAAGAGCGAGAAGTGGATTCCAGAGGATCTGGAATGAATTTAACAGCGGGATACGCAACAACTGCATGTCTTCAAGCTGTCATGGGAAGCTCAGGCAGCTCTGCCAGCGGGCCCCCACAACTCGCAGGCAGAGGAAGTGATGTCACAGGGGCCGCACACCAAGCCCGTCTCTGCTTCCTGTCAACCACTTTACTGATGCATAAGGGTTGACTCCACCAGACAAATAACCAAAACAGAGATTTCTTCGTTTTCGTTTACGGATCTCGACAACGTAAACGTAATCAGACAAGTAGGATCGCAGGATAAAAACGAGGCAAAGAGGAGTCGATTTCAGAAAATAACCTCAGTCTTGAGAGAAATATTGTTTTGTGTCTGAGTGTTGCAGGAATGCTTGCCAAGAATTTTGTTTTCATGTTTCTTTAGGATCTTATCTCTGTTTTCTCTTTTCGTGCCAAAAAAGGCAATGATGCATTTGGATCAGTTGGGTTTTCAAAAGCTGGTGCAACACTAAAAACATGGTAAAAAAAAACAAAAACAAAAAAAGAAGTGATATCTTTTGCTGTCTTGACCAAGTTAAACAAATTTCCTTAGCCCCTGCAAGTCAGTTTTTTTCCCTCATTTCCTCCCGCTCCTCCCCCACATCATCCCGTTATCAGCACACTGGTATCTTTCTGCTGACATATAAGAGACATGATATGATCTTCTGCAAATTTCATCTCCAGACCTCCTTCTGAGATGTAAGCTGCTCACTGGGTTGACCTGAGTTCTTGTTGGACAAAGAAAAAAAATCTGCTACGATGCCAGACTGGAGGCAAGGGTCACTATAACTGAACTGGAAGCGCATCATTTGTTCCATATTTCTGTTTTTTTACATGCGTTTTTAAATTTTCAATCATTCAATCAATCAATCAATCAATTTTATTTGTAGAGCACCTTCCGCAACGTTATCAGAAGCCCAAGGTGCTGAACAGCATCACAAAAACATTCCCAGTACCTGGGCATAAGAGCAAGATAAAAACATAAGATCATAAAATAACAAGAAAGCAATATTACAAATACAGTGAGGTAACGGAATGAGACTACCAGTAATCAATTAAAAACAAATGGTGGACAAAATAAGATCAAGCATCCTGATCAAAAAGAAGAAGTATTAAAAACCATAATGCCAGGGCAATTCAATGAACCCTAGCGCTGAAAAGCAATCAAATAGAAATGAATCTTTAGACGAGACTTAAAGACTTGAAGGGAAACGCCTGCCTAATGCTCAACGGCAATTCATTCCACAGAGTTGGAGCCAAAACAGAAAATGCACGATAACCCCTCGATCGATATTTCGACCGGGGGACCACCAGACGTCCCTGCTCGGCTGAGCGAAGAGACCGAGATGGAACATACTTGTGCAAAAGTGCAGTAATGTAAGAGGGGGCACTGCCCTGGAGGGCCTTATCAACAAGAGTTAAGATCTTAAATTTAGCTCGATATTGCACCGGGAGCCAGTGCAGAGCAGTCAGCAATGGAGTAATGTGATCTCGGCATCTAGTACCTGTCAGGAACCTAGCCACTGAGTTCTGTACAAATTGGAGCCGTACAATCGTGCACTGACCCAGACCAGTATACAGAGCGTTACAGTAGTCCAGACGGGACAGGACGAAAGCATGCAACACAGACTCAAGATGAGCTCTGGACAGCAGAGGCCTGATCCTGGATAGTCGTTTCAGATCAATAAAACAGGACCTCACCACCGTATTTACGTGAGTGTCAAGATTAAGTGAGGAGTCAATTTCCCCTACGGCGTTTTCTCCAGTTAGCCCGATCCAGGAGCCGTTGAGGCACAAGCGGTGGTGCCAAGCAGCACTGGCATGAGGACGAAAAACTGGAACTCCTCCAGCCCGTCCAAGCACCCGGTTTCACCAGGCCAGCAGCCGACTGAAGTTCTAGAGGAGCCACTCGGTCATAAGTCAGCAACAAAGTCACATTACACACGAAAACACTCAAAAATAACAAAAAGATAAAATAACTGACAGGAGACAGACGGCTTGCCACAAACACCGGCGCCATCTTGCCCCCCCCCCCCCCCCCCCCCCCCCCCCCCCCCCCGACCCTTATTTTGACTTAAAGGTGAGGGAGAAATTTCAACCAAAGTGCTGTGGCCATTGTATGTCAGAACCAGCTTATGGTTAGCACACACACATTAAAACTGACAAATAGTTTCAATCCAGAGCTGATAGGTTTTTCAGAGGCTGGCTGAAGCTCCAGTGAGACCTTTGAATTCCTGAGTTTGGTAAAACTATCAAAGAATAAACAGACTGGAACTTTTACGATGGGGTGTGGCTTCTCTAGACCAAATCAAAATGTTACGAAATACACAGATATTCATTAGGACAAAAGAGCTTTGCTAAATGTATTTGTTGTAGTAAAATCACTTAAAAGTTTGGGTATGAGATGGTTTTCTGGAGCTCTTTTGCAATATTGCTTGAAATGCTCTTCAAGTGCAACGTTTTGCTAGAAAACGGAATTATTTTAATTCCCTCTGAAACGTACAAGTCTGGAAAAACCTCATCCAATCATTGTGAATGTCCCATTCTTAATGATTGGATCATGACCTATCCATCAAACTGCCCTGAACACACCCCTCTCTGTGCACAAATAGCACATCCTCTGCTCTGAGGAAATGAACGGGAAGTGAAGCCAGAGTCAGGCTGATTAGTGTAATGGACATAATGATCTGTTCTGTTTGCAAATTTAATTTAAGGAGTTGCTTTACCTGTTCTGTTTAGTGGCTGGTCCTTTTCTTGTTGGGATACGTTTAAGTGACGGACCCGTTGTTTGTGAACGCAACCATTTCTCTGTTGGCTGGTAGAGCCAGGTAAGACAGTTGCCTTTGCAACCCGTGTGTGTGTTGGTGGCCAGCTTGGCAAAGAGATAACAGTGATCGGGAACAGTCAAGCCAGGTTCTGGAAGTTTTGACCCTGTGTTTGTGGAGTTTTCCCAGATTGTCAAGAATAAACAACGAAAGCTTAAAACTGCCTTGATTTTCACCACACAAACAAGCCTGGAAGCCCGGAGAAAGGGCGTTGAACCTTTGAGTCCTGTATTTTGAAAAAATAACTTTTTGGAACGACGTCAAAAACACCTTCTATTACGCCTTTAAATCCCAAACATACTTGGTTGAAGTTGATGGGTTTTTCCCTGCGTCCCGTCTGGACCAAGAGCTTGTATGCCAGGATGCCCTCATCTGATCCATTCCTGTAGTTGTTGGTGGTGATGCGGCCGGCCTCCCAGTCTGTGTCGAACGCCTGCTGGAGTCCTTCAAGAAACCACAACAAGACAGATTGGTTAGTTTAAAAAAAGGTTACATGCTCTGTTATCTCCGTTCTTCCTGTGAGAGACCATCACAAAGCGTAGCTGATGGGAAAACAGAACACGTAATAAGCCGGCACTGTAAAACAGAACATGACACAACACTGCAACTTAACCCTAACCCCATAATAAGCATCATTGATTTCACATAACTCCATTCTCAACCACTAAGCAAGACTTCAAAAGCCTAAAATCTGCTGGTTTTAATTCAAAGCGATCGTTAGGGACTATATCAATAACATCTGCCTCCTTTTCTACACTCCTCTCAATTCCATATGTGTATATCACTCTCCTCCTCTCCACTCTCCCACCCCCAAGGCCCATGCTGTGGTCCGTCTGTGGGAGATGTTGTTTTGGGTCTCTTTCCTTGGCCTGTCTGGCTCCAATTTGTCCCACCATTGCACAGAGCAATATCAGACACAGTTCCCTCCCCAACACACACACATACACACACACACACGTTGTGTGGCTCCCAGCTCCAGTTCACTCACATACTCTCTCAAAATGCCACCACGTCTTTCTTTTAAGGTTACAAGCGGTTGTTTTTGTGGTGTTTTTGAGCGTAGAAATGAAATGAAAGGTAATAAAAACCAGCACTGGGACGATGTTTCGGCTGAAAACGTCATTTGCAGCTTGCTGTTAAAAGGTTTTATCAACGCTTCCTATAAGTCCAGCATGAAAATGTTTAATCCTCTTCGTATCAGCTCCACTCGTGAAAGACACAAGTGACGCTAATCAGCCTGTCGGTGTCCATTTAGCAGTCCGTCCTACCTCTGAACTCCCATCCTAAAAAAAATGACTCCCATGCCTTCGACTTTTCTCGAGACATTAAATGGATCGTAAACAAAAACAAGTTAGTTTAGAGTGTTAGTTTAACTATCACGCATCGGAATGTTAATGTGGCGTTCGCGATAACAATGCAACATCTGTTTGTTAAAGTCCCATTAGTCATCATCACATTGGTGAAATTACATCTCTGCATTTGACCCATCCCCGTGGGGAGCGGTGAGCTGCAGCACTGGCTGCGCTCAGGAACTATTTGGAAGTTTAACCCTCCTGTCCAAGCAGGGAGGCATTAGGTCCATCTCCCAGTCCCAGGGTGGACATTACCACTAATGCCACTGAGAAGGTTTCTGGGTGTTGGATTCAGAAATCCAGGCTGATTTTATATATATATATATATATATATATATATATATATATATATATATATATATATATACATATATATATATATATATATATATATGTATATATATATATATATATATATATATATATATATATATATATATATATATATATATACAAAATATATACATATGTATATACATACATACATACATGTATATATTTTGTGTGTATATATATATACATATATATACACACAAAATATATACATATGTATATACATACATACATACATGTATATATTTTGTGTATATATATATATATATATATATATATATGTATGTATATATTATATATATATGTATATGTACATATATATACATAATATATACATATATATATATATATATGTATATATTATGTGTATATATATATATATATATATATATACAAAATATATACATATGTATATACATACATACATACATGTATATATTTTGTGTATATATATATATATATATATATATATATATGTATGTATATATTATATATATATGTATATGTACATATATATACATAATATATACATATATATATAATGTATATATTATGTATATATATATATATATATATATATATATATATATATATTAGCATGGTGGCGCAGTAGTTAGCACTGTTGCCTCGCAGCACGAAGGTTGCAGGTGCGAAACTCGGTTCGGCTGCAGCCTTTCTGCGTGGAGTTGCGTGTTCTCCCCATGCATGCGTGGGTTTCCTCCGGGTACTCCGGTTTCCCCTACTGATCACAACATGCCCTATAGGTTATAAATTGTAAGTCGCTTTGGATAAAAGCGTCTGCTAAATAAATAAACATAAACATATATATATATATATATATATTTTTTTTTTATACCTTGCAGCCAGTCCCTGAAGTAGTGGAGCCACATGCGGGGCAGCTGACCGTCCTCTTCCTTCAGCACGTAGCGGATGCTGTGGAACCTGTGGTGAAGCTGGTGCAGCAAAGGCTGGATCTGGGCGTAGTCGGCCCGTTGGGTCACTACATACATGTTGTAGAAGGAGAAGAACTTGAACTGGGCGCCGATGAAGTCGTACTCGCTGGTCTCTCTGGGCACTATGTCCGTCAACTCCAGGCCATCCCGAACTTGGGTGGTCCCGTACAGGCTGACTCCCAGCAGGCAGAGGAATAGCATAATCACAACCACCTGGAATCACGGGAGAAAAGATGCTAATTATTCATCGCTTCAAATCTTACAGCTCAAATATGGGATTTATCTGGGAGGATCTTAGCACAACGTTTCAAATGCAATGAAAATAACTTCAGATTACATTTAGATTTATATCTGTATTGATATTTAGACTTTTTTTTCCTTCTGAAAGTTGTCATATATTAAAGGGACTTTACGGAGTTTTGAATTTTTATGCTCGCGATTGCCCCCTCAGGCCAAAAGCGTAACGGCAGCTTCAATAGTAGGCTGGTGCACGAGGCGCACATGCTGTACGTGCACACTCCTTAACGAAAATAACAGCTGAGACAGTCCGGTGTGTGTGTGTGTGTGTGTGTGTGTGTGTGTGTGTGTGTGTGTGTGTGTGTGTGTGTTTGTGGCCTGGAGGACAGAGGACAGGAGAATGCACAGCTAATTAATTAAATAATGTGGTTCTGTACCTTTCTCTTCAGCACAGCCGACAAAGGTTTATGATGGGTCAGTCCTCCTGCATGCTCAGATCATTCCCTTCCCTTGCTTGAAAAATTGTTCCAAAATGAAAGTTGAACCCACATCTTTTTTATCTGTGAATTCAATGCCGTTCGGCGAGTCTCAAATAAAAATTTGGGCATCTTACTGTAAAAAAATATACCATTAATGTAAAAAAGAAACTCTAAATAAACTATGTTCACATCCAGAATCAAACCCAGGTCTTCTGCATGGGAGTCCGACGTCTTACTAGGTGAGCTAAAGCATCAGTGATGTAACTTGTATCTGTAAGATTTATATCCTTGATGACTGCTGAATCAACGTTCAAAGAACAGTTCGGAGCGAAAATGGCTATTTTGTTGCTAATTTGCAGGAAATATCAAGAAGAAAGTAGCTAAGGGTCCTCAGAAATGTAGCTAGGTTTGTCACTAGGCGTTAAGAACAGCGACAAAGTTGCTGAGTTGGCACTGCCTCTCTCTCTGCTGCTAAAGCTACAGATAGCAAATGCTACGGGCGATGCCTGAGCGTGAACGCGCATGAAGCAGCCTGCTCGACCCGAGCATCTCTCTTTTTCTGTGATTTTACAGAAAAACAGGCAATCGCAGTAAAAATGCCAGGGCTCATTCTACAGGACCAGGGCATTGCAGGAGAATGTATGAAGAAGACATTTATTATTTCTATACATGTTTTGGCTGTCAAACTTCCATAATGCCCCTTTAAAACAGGACTTTTACCTAAGATCTAAAAAAAAAACCCATTAGGGTTTGATAAAATGCAAAAATGTCTGGAAACAGAGTCCAGCAGATGATTTCAGTTTTGGAAGGCTTTAAGAAGAGGGGCCACCCACTAGACTGAGGTCAGACTGTGTGTGTGTGTGTGTGTGTGTGTGTGTGTGCGTGCGTGCGTGTGTGTGACTCAGATATGACATGACCACAACCTTCACCCCTGATTTCCTCTGTCTGCTTTTACTCCCCCCCGGTGAATAACTCTCCCATTCAAATTATCACCTCAGTGAGTCAGAACGCAATTACGCCTTTACCTCACACAGAAGCTATTGTTTTGTTTTGTTTCTTTTCTTTCCAAAAAAAAAAATGTCTGAGAGAGTACAGTGACCTTGGTGGTGGGCTGCAGAAGGAACGGCGCATAGTGCTTCTCAGCGAAAGAGGCCAGCGTCCAGCGGGAGCAGGCGGGCTCGAGGCAGTGCAGGCCCAGAGAGGCCTCTCCGACGTTGGACAGCAGGTCCCGGGTGGAGCTGCTGTTCTCTGGACTCTGACCAGTAGACGAGACCGTGTCACCCTGAGGAACGGAACTGGAAGTGGGCGGGGTCAATGTAGATGCAGGATATTGGTGAGAGAAAGAGGCGGAGCCTCTAGATCCGCTGTTGCCTCTGCTGCTGTTGTTGTTGTTGCTGAGGTTTCCGTGATTGCTGCTGCTGCTGTTGTTGTTGTTGTAATAGTCACTGCTGCGGTTGCTCCTCGTTGGAGCCGGGTTAATCGGCTGCACGGAGATCTGGGACCTGGGCTCGGCTGTTGTGTAGAAGGCTTGAGTCCGGGGGTCGTACTCCGTCCTGAGCTGCACGGTGGACTGCATGGTGATCTGGGTCTGCTGGGCAAAGCTGTGGCTGCTGTAGGACGGCGGAGGACTGCTGTAGCTTGGGGGAGGCGTGTGATATGAGGGGGGAGGGGTGCAATATGATGGAGGAGGGCTGTAGCGCCCCGCATCTGCCCCATCCAAGTACGCCTGAGGCTCGATCTGAACCACACGATTGGCACAAGGGCTGCAGAGACAAGTACAGTGGAACAAAATCAAACAGAAAATGTATTAAAAATAAAAATGAACGGGCAAATTCAACATGAGCAAATAAACTTTAGACTAGCTGGAAACATGTTTCATCTTATGTTTTTCTGAATCCCCTCCTGCAAAAATCTAAAACAGCGCGAGTACACATCTGTACCATCGCCGAGCCAATGAGCATGCCCGGGCTGGCGGGCAGAGCGCTGAAATGTAATAAAACGATGATAAAGAAACTTCCAGGCAACCACACAGGACGACACAACTTTAGCACCAATTAGCTTGTGACTTCAGGGGATGAATGTTAAGACACTTTCGGAAATGAAAACAAAAAGTGGCCCCGAGTTATTTACCCTCAGATCAAAGAGTTGAGGCAAACAGAGACGGAAAGAACAGGAAAGCGATGACTTTGATGAGGAATGAAAGAGCGTCTTTGTGTCCGTGTGCGCACCTGTAGAAGCAGCAGAAAATATCGAAACGCCTCTCCTCGCGTCGGTAAAGGTCCATGCTGAGGATGGCGGGAAAGATGAGCAGCACCATGGCGAAGTTAAAGACCACCACCACCGCCGCCTGCAGGAAACAGAAAAGAGTGTTCTTTTTTTAACATCTCGTCGGTGTTTCAGTGTTGGTGGATTGATGAAAACATTGAGCACAGCAGTCCTCAAACACACCCACATGGTAAACCAGTTTGATTAGGGTAACGACACCTAAAAAATGGTCAATATTCAACAAATTGGCCACAAACACAAACGTTTCTCTTCCCAGATAAATGAAGAAGACGAGCAGCGTCCCGTTACTATAGTTACCAACGCTAGACTCCATCTGCTGGAAGCCTCCAAGCTACAGCATCTGAAAATAACATGACACACTTTACCTCTTTATCAATAACGGGTTAGAAGGTCATACGCCCCAAAAATATTTAACTAAAATGTTGCATTCTTGGGGCATCGTACCGGGTCCGGACATGGCAAAACTAAATCTAAGGCAGTTGCGCCAACCACTAGTCCACAGGCATAATGGGAGATTTAGAAGGGGGGTGTAAATTAATTGGGACACTCACACACGTCTCGGGGCAGCGCAGAACACTTCTGGGGACATCCTGTCCACAAAGGATTTTACTTGTTCTATTTTGTCCCCCGTGGTAGAGGTAAACGAGCAGCATGCCATACCAAGATCACGCTGTTCTCTGGTGACTGGCCAGAGTTTGACTCCTGCGATCAGATGCAACAATAAACGGCTTTTGAGTCTCCAAAACCACCCCAGAGCATTAAAAAGTAGGCTCCTTTATGACCTCATCTATGGACTTTTATTGTTCAACGCCTAAAAACATCTCAAGTACTTCTTTTTTTAATTGACCTTTGCTGTAGCGCCAGCTAGTGGACGGAAATGGTATTACAAAAATAAACACACTTTCAAGAGAAAGAAGACATTTTGCCTTTCAGGGCTTCCGTAAGAAATCATGTACGCAAAAATAAAACTAGCTAATGTCAAGGAAACACTTTTTCAAGACATAGTAGTCTCTGAATGTGCAGAGAAAAAAAGCAAAGTCTGTGCGTGTGTGTGTGTGTGTGTGTGTGTGTGTGTGTGTGTGTGTGTGTGTGTGTGTAATAGAAGCCAGTACAATGTTGTGGTTAAGGATTTGAAGGCGGTGCACTGGAGCAGAGGCTGGGGGGGGGGGGGGGGGGGGGGGGGAAGCTGGGTTGGGGCCCTGCCCAGAATACAATCTGGATGTTGCGTAGTTGCCAGACCACTACACACACACACACACGCACGCGCACACATGCACAATCGCATGTGTATGCCAGACCACCTAAGAAGTCAGAGGCCCACAGGGTCTGAGGTGATGAGCAGGCACTGTGGCTGCACAGATAACACACACACACACACACACACACACACACACACACACACACACACACACACACACACACACACACACACACACATCTATTACCATTTATAAAAAAAACAAGTGAACTGCAAACTCCTGCTTAAACCACACCTTAACACCAACCAGACGTACACACTCGCATATCCTCCCCTCTGTTCCTGCTCCCTGCTCGAGAAAAATCATGTCGAAGGCAGAAAATGCCCAGATGCTGAGAGGAACAATTATTTATTAACTGGCAAAGTGCATCACTCCACACACAGACACACACACAGTGACTGCTAGAAGAACCCCCCAAATGAAGATATCCATCTCTGAATTTTCCTCGGTGTATAAACAGTCCTGTGATCGTTTTTTTTTTTGTGTGTCTTTATTAGAGCATGGTTCCCTTTCTCTAGTTTATGCTGATGGAAGGAAGTGAAGGAGAGAAGAAACGATGGAGGTAAGGGGTGATAAAACGACATTGGAGTAAACAACCAGATGCATTTATTAGCTATAAAGGAACAGACACACACACACACACACACACACACACACACACACACACACACACACACACACACACACACACACACACACACACACACACACACACACATCCTAGCAGTTCTTGTCCATGAGGTTTGTCCTCTACTAGTCACAAAAACCACAAGTGTAAAGAATGTGTGTGTGTGTGTGTGTATGTGTGTGTGTGTGTGTGTGTGTGTGTGTGTGTGTGTGTGTGTGTGTGTGTGGTACGTGTAGAAAATCAGGCGGCATGGATTAGACCCATGGGGTAAATGGATCATGTTTGACAGACTTGCTGTACTAAAGCCATCTATCCACACATGCTAATATTTTGCTCTCTGTGGTGACATCTTACCTCACTCAGTGTGTGTGTGTGTGTGTGTGTGTGTGTGTGTGTGTGTGCGTGTAAGAAAGTACAAGTTTGAGCTTGAGGGGATAGAAGATGAAATTTAATTAAACATTAAAATATGTTGCTTGAGGTAACTGAATGTATTTCCTATGAAAACTGTGGAACACTAACCATTTCATAATTTATCTGACAAAATATCCATAAAAATACATCAGATTTGAAAAAAACTAACTCAAATAAACTCTTTGAACAACCTCAGTTTGGAGAAACAGGGATCTGTTCACTTCCAGACAGGTGAGGTAATGGCTAGTCAGAGATACCAGTTACAAAGTGTTTGCTGTGGCTATTTGCAGGAGAAATCAGCTGCAGAGGTAGCTCCTGTAGCGTTCGTAATCATTCTGCCAGAATAGCTCAGAAAAGTAAAAATTGTGGTAAGGTAAAAGTTAAAAACAGTTGTGGCATTAACGGCTATGAAATTCTTTGAGATATAACAACCGTGACTAGTTGTCAGCTAATCGGTTCTATCAGAACTAATCTCAGTTTCTCCAAACCGAGGACATTCAAGGAGCCATCTGCAACGCTGAATTTACTAATTGATCGCAACGTTTTCCACAGAACGCTACTTCAACGGTCTTAACACCTCAAATCTATTTTGCAGGCCTCTTGTTTATCTCCAGTTTCCCACGTGTGCTGAAAATGCTCCTACTGTACTGAAAAAGTCCGACTTCATTCATCAAAAGTTTCATCGCAGAACTTTTATTTATTTATTTTTCCTCTTTGCACAATGCACCCCTGTGTTCAACTGAGAGTGTTTAAATGAATTCACAAGTCTGTGATTATTGGAGGCATTTTGTCAGACACTGTTCTGGTGACGTGTATAATTACGGACAGATGTTCGAGAAGTCAGACCCCCCCCCCCCCCCCCCCCCCCCGGCATCCACGATCGCACACTAGACCGCTGCTTTCAAAACCTCCCACACAGACGCTCACACACACGAAGGAGCACGAGGAAATCCAAGGACACACACACACACACACACACACACACACACACACACACACACACACACACACAAACAGTTGGATTCAGTTACCCAGACCTCAGCCACAATCTGGACAGACACTGGCCCCACCACTTAGCAGCCTCAAAGAAGAAGGGTGGAGTGGATTTTAAAACACACACACACACACACACACACACACACACACACACACACACACACACACACACACACACACTTCTTGGACAGACAAACCTTCAGTTTGATGAATGAAATCAATAAAACAACAGTCTGTGGCGAGGTCTGGAGGCAATGAGGACAAGAACATGACTATTAGTTGGACCGAAATCTAGGAGAGAACACACACACACACATACACACATATACACACACACACACACACACACACGAAACAGCATACCTGTAGAGAGAAGGCACGGAGCGCTGGGATGGGGATGAGGGCGGCCATGAAGAACGCTGTGACGTTACTGATGGAGGTGAGCGCCACACTGGTCCCTGTCCTCTTCAAACACTCCCCCGTACGATCCTGACACAGACAGACAGACAGACAGAGTGTCAAATGGAAGCTAAACCTATTAAAACGTTTGATCAGCTTGTAGCCAGAGGCAAATGTGTAAACCTGAGACTACGAACAATTATCATAATACCAGTGTGACTGACAGTGATTGCTATGCTTTCTGAGGCCCTGAAGTTCTCTTCCAACTCTTTTGGGCCCGCTTTGTGTCTCTTTGGTGTGTGAAATTGCAAAAAGGACTAAAATTATATTATTATTATTATATGTTTTCTGATAAAAATTCTTGCAGCGGATTTATTTTGCATACCCAAAGAGAAGCAACATGTCTGGGTGTACCAGTGTGAAGATTTGAGAATTTGAGGGACCACACAGTGAGCATCTGCAGGCGTGCCCGTCTTTGTGTGTGTGTGTGTGTGTGTGTCTCAGACAGGGGTGATCAAGTTCAGCTCTGTTTAGTTTTCATCTCAGCCACACAAAGAAGGCCGGCGGATGAAGGAGACAAGAGCTGGAGGGGGAGGAAAACAAAAACAAGCAAATACATGTCTGTTTTTGTTTCCCTTTCTGGGGATGACAAGGTTCACATGCAAAGCTGCAAAAATCCACCATTTGTGTTTAAAATCTTGGTCTGGGATTGATATATTTATTTTATTTTTGTTGTTTCATTTTGCGGGGTCTTGATCTACAAATTTTATCTAATTCAGTGATACAAAAAAGTAAAACTGTGGAAAATTCACATAACTAAGTAACACACATACAAGACAAATTAAAGTAATGACAAGTGAAGCCACGCAGAACAAAAACTACCACTTTTAACACAGAGAGTTGCTCAGATAAGTGTTCCAAGTGTGTGGCACACAAGATGAGTGATGCTACATCACGCGCACAGGCAAGCTTTCACACATTCCCCCGTGGGTACAGATAAAACATCAAAGAGGAACCAAAGTCTCACCTCGAATGGGATCCTCTTGTTCTGTCCGGTTTCACTGAAGGCATGAGCAAGAAGGAAGACGTCATCCACTCCGACTCCCAAGGCTAAGAAGGGAAGAACCTGCGGGACGAGCACAAACATTATGAGCTGTTTGTGGTTTTGGTTCACAAGGCTGCATTTTTAAATTGTCACCTGATTTTCAAACCTCGAGAGAACACACACACCGTGCTTAAAAGTCACCGTATAGGACAATACTACACCAACCGTGTTTTCACTCACGCTAACTTTTCATTCCCCGCTAACTTTGGAAGCCTGGGGAAAACTCAGGAAGTGTAAAATAGTTCCCAAGACAGATCCTGGGTCAGTCAAACAGGCTGCTAAAAAACACAGCTTGGATGATCACAGGATCGCATTGCTTGAAATTCCATTTCTGACTAAAAAAGATAGATCGGTAACACTTTACAATAAAGGTTCCTTTATTAACGCCACGTTAATATATGATATTGGTAATATTAATAACAGGAACCTTTGTTTATTAATGCTTAATAATGCACTAAGTCATGTTAATAAAGGAACCCTTTGTTTATTATTGCTTAATATTTCACAACATAACGTCAATAACGGGACCGTTGCTTAATAATGCTTAATAAATCACTAAGTAATGTTAATAAAAGGACCCTGTGTTTATTGATGCTTAATAATGCACTAAGCAAAGTTAATAAAAGGATCCTTTATGTTTATGTATTTAGCAGACGCTTTTGTCCAAAGTGACTTACAAGTGATAATCGGCATATTGCCCTTGAGTTGTTGTTGTTATTGTTGTTGTTAGCCTCAAGGGTAACATGCCGATAATCACTTGTAAGTCGCTTTGGACAAAAGTGTCTGCTAAATACATAAACATAAACATTAATGCTTAATAATTCACTAAGAAATGCTAATAAAGGGACCCTTTGTTTATTAATGTTTAATAATTCAGTAAGTAACGTTAATAAAGCGACCCTTATTGTAAAGTGTTACTGATAGTGTTCAGCGTTACAATGCAACATGTTTCAACACTAGGATTGATGATCTGGGCAGTCCCAGACTTCCTCCCTAACAGACCAGGGTGCTCTTAAAACACCACAAAAGGTAGGATTATCTGATAAGATTATCTTTAGAGTCGTTACGGTAAACGTGCAACTTTAAGATGTTTGAAAGGGACGGAGCTTGTCAAAAATTGACATGATTATCCTGCCACATGAACCAAGCCTCAGAGATGTGTGTGTGATTTACCTGTGTTGTGGCAGCATTGAAGGAGATGCCCAGAAGGGAACAGAGACCTAGGCCAGCTGCCACAGACAAGGTCACCAGCATGACCCCCGCCAGGCCCACGGCACCTTGGGACTTAGCACAGTCCCACCGTAGCATTGTCAGACACGCGTAAGCCAGCTGAACACAAACAGGATACGGTCAACATGTCACAACAAACACAAATCTCTATCTTTTTATCTGATCCCTTAAGATTATATTGATCTAAATACATATTACAACGTTTCTCTCACCATGAGCAGGTAGCCGCTGGCCACACGAATAACACTGATGTCAGAAAAAGACTTGAGAATGTCCTCCAGGGTGGTGGTGGTAAAAGGTAGGACTATCTGGGATGAATTTTCTGCCACACTCTGCAGCACTGCCTAAAAAAAGAAATACATTAAACAAAATCAGTTACCCCCAAATTTGGAGGGATTTTGAGTCCATTTTTACATTCAAACAAATGGGATCCAAGCAGTCTAATTTCCCTCTGGGATTAATAAAGTATATTTTAATTGAATTTAATTGAATCAACTTTAACGACCAAGTTAACTTGTTATTTTAACACATTTGCAGTGGTGTCTAGTATAAATGTGAGTAGATGGGGGAAAAGGCTGTTCCAGGAGCTAGAAGTGAACCACAGCCAGAATGAGCAGAAGACAGCAGAATTTGCAGTTTTATTTCCTGATATTCAGACATCTTGCCTCTGATTGGCTAACAACCACACAACTCTACCACTGACTCACTTTGCTTTGCAACGATGATCTCCACAAAATACACAAGCCTGAAGTAGTTCTTCTGTATTGTGTAGTTGCTAATGCTAACAGTTAGCTTCGACTAGCCGAACCGTGCTCTGCTCTCTCCTGGGAGCTAAATCACATCTAAATCCCATATGCAAGCCAAGATGGGTGAGTCCATGAATGCTTTTCAGTGTGATGTAGAACTGAGTGGCTTTTCTATTGTGAGAGTTTCCTTATGTATTTTCTCTGCCTGTAACAGCGACTCTGCTGCGCTGATTCTGCTAGATCAATCAGCAGCCTTCGACTTGGTGGATCATGGGATCTTTCTGTCTCGTCTTGAAACGCGCGTAGAGATCAAAGGCATTGCTTTCAAATGGTTGGAGTCCTACCTTTTAGGGAGAACCTTCTCAGTAATCCTTGGCAAATACTCATCTTCTGTATCATCAGTGGATTATGGAGTGCCCCAGGGCTCAGTTCTAGGACCACAGCTTTTTTTATTATATATGTTACCACTCAGGAAATACAGGATCTTGTTTCACACCTATGCAGATGACCTGCAGATCTACGTATCAATACATTTTAACAGTGCCCTCCTTAAACAGTCTTAAAGATGTGCAGGAGTGGTTTGACTCAAACTTTCTCAAATTGAATGAAAAAAATACTGAAATCTTGGTATTTGGGTTGTCTGGTGCACGGCAACATCAACAAAGTATTCTTGAAGACCTTCTCACCTACTGTCACCTAACAGTTAGGAATTTGGGTGTTGTTTTTTATTCAGGTCTTACTTTTATGAATCAGATCAGTGCTGTGGTTAAGGCTAGCTTCTTCCAGCTGAGGCTTCTTAGTGGGATAAAAGCCTATGTCCCATCTGATCTCATGGCGACTTGTATCCATGTCATGATTTCCTCGCATCTGGATTATTGCAATGCACTGTACATTGGATTATCACAGTCTGTCGTAAAACGCTTACAAGCTTACAAAGCCGTTATGGCTGCTTGAGCGTCGTTATGGCTGCTCTCGTGGTCTGCCTGTACCTGTTCTGTCTATATGTGTGTGTAATCTTGGTCAGGCTGTTCTGTGGAGTCAAGTTCCTATGCTCTGGTTCGCTGGAGCGCTGGCAATAAAATTCTCTCTGATTCTCTGATTCAAAGTGTACAGAATTCAGCAGCTCGCCTTTTGACGAGATAAGGAAATATGCCCATATCACTCCTGTGCTGGATGATCTTCACTGGCTTCCTGTGAAGTTTAGGATTGATTTTAAGCTATTGTTACTGGTTTTTGAATGTGTCCATGGGCTGGCTCCCTCATACTTGAGTGAACTCAGTGAACCTTATGCTCCATCCAGATTGTTGAGATCTGCTGATCGCCATCTGCTGGTTACATGCAGATCAAGGTTAAAGACTAACCCCGGTTTCAAGCCGGTTTCACACTAAAAGCATCAGCGGAACGGAACGGCAGCGAAGCGGCACAGCTTCAAATAGAATCCAATTGTAGTCTATGGAGTGTTTCAAACCAGCCGCGACGCGGCAATTTCCAGGCGCTCCCAGAAGCGGCATGCCACGCCGCGCCGCTAAAGATAGGATCGAGTTCTATTGTTTCTGCGAGCCGCTTCTGGGACACGTCAATTTCCGCAGTTCACATAGAGCGAGACAGGAAACCACACGGTTTCAGTGTAAAATCCCCAGTTATTTTCAAAATAAAATGCAACGTTGCAATGTTATCTACAACTTACGTCAGCACGTGTGACCGAACGGCTTTGTTAACCACCAGTTTCTTTCGAGAAGTGCAACGGTGTGATTCCTCGCGGGGGTTGTGATCTCTCGATGAGGAAGGTGCCGGAAGTCGAGAGGGACTTTAGAATCTCGCGGGTACAGCGAGGTGCAGCGAGGAAGCTGTGCCGCGGCCAAGACTCTCCTAGTGTGAAAAGGACCGCTTTGAAGTTCGCGAGTGAGCCGCTCCGCTGCTGTTCCGTTCCGCTGATGCTTGCAGTGTGAAACCGGGGTACGGGTGGTAGATCTTTCCCTGTCATGGCTCCTGTGTTGTGGAACTGCCCACCTTTAGTGGTTAAGACGGCTGATACTGTTGCCCTGTTTAGGGCACATCTGAAAACGCATTTGTACGCCTTGGCATTCTGCTAATAACCTCCAGGCTGCAGGTTTCAGGTTAATTTAAGGTTTTTAATGCTTTTAATATTTTTGAAATTTTAAAGCCTGTTTTAATGTATTTTTACTCTGTGTGCAGCATTTTGGGGTAACCACTGTCGCCATTTAAAGGTGCTATGGAAATAAAATTTGACTTGACTATTTTCAATCAATGGCTAATGCAAGAAAAACGGGTAGAAGATTATTTTCACATTCAGCCTGCACGTGAAACAAGGAGTGACTGATCATATTTTAAAATTAACAAGTAAAAAACTGTTTCTCAGTGAACTTGGCCTTGAAGCTCTGATGATCAAACGTGGAAGCCACATAATGAGACGTCTGTGGTGTATTAACTGATACAGTATCTGCATATGAATGTGGAGCGTCTGTAAGGGCAGAACTTGGCGGCACGGTCCTTCTGTTTCTGTTTAGCGTGCTTTTGTAATCACAGTAATGAGCCGCCATGTTCTGAGCACGAGAGACAGAACGCTGAAACACAATAGCTCTGCAAACAAACCTCTTAAGAACAGGATGAGATTATTTAAAAGAGCTTTGCTAATGAAAACCCTGAATATTTCCTGTGCTAATGCACGATAAATAAAAGCAATGATTAGAATATTCTGCTCTTGTTTTGTTGCACTAATTCATCGCAGTTTTGCAGGATTCTGATGTAGTCGTGTTTTCATCACACTCAAACCAAAAATACGAACGCTAAACTATAGTTTTCTCAACGTCAGCGCTCGTATTTTGGGTCGACAAACTCGATGCTTCTTCTGCTTTGATTGATATTTCATCTATATGCACCACGGCTGCTTCACTCCCTGGCTTTTGGATCTCCTCCTGTTCTGACATCATCCCATGCCCTCCAACATAATACCATAAGCCATCTCAGCTTTTATCATCCTCATTCTCCTGGTACCTGTTACTCACCTCTGAGCTGCTCCAGTCCCTGCTCCTGATCAATCCTACTCACCGGTCTACAGCCCTGGCCCTGCTCACCTCTCCAGCAACTACCTTCATTCTCCTCCCAGTAAAGCCTGATTCATGCTTCTCCGTCAGCTCCGCAAGGGACAGACACGCACGGATTGACGGAAGCGTTTTGCTCTCATACTTCTCCGTCTCCTGGGGAGTGTTGCAAAGCAATCCCCCGGCAGGACAACAGAGGGCGTAGCTCTGTTCTGTGGTATCCTGTCATGTATCGGTTTTTTGTGTATAAGAGACTTTTTAACACGGACAAATTTGTCTCTCATCCTCCTCCACCTCTTCATGCGCTCGCCACCTCTAAACCCACGCTTCCTGTCATTTCCGTCCACAAATAAAACGCTTGCTGCGCATCTTTTCACTCCTCCAGTCACGGGGGAATTAAACGTTCATGTTTTTAGAGTTTTTTCGCGAGGTGTTCTTCAAGCTGCTCCGTGTCTGCCGCGAGTTATCCTCGTCTCTCTTTATGTTTTTGGGGGGCGGCGGTGTAGACGACAGCGGCGTCCTGACCAATCATACGCTTGCGTTGTCCGTCTCGACTGACGGATGTTTAGAAAAGAGAGCTTGACTCCGTCCGTCCTTGCGGAGCTCTCAGGCAGGCCCACAAGGACGTTGCGTGTCTCCGCACTGACGCAGACGGAGAAGAATGAATCAGGCTTCAGACGTCTCCAACTGCTCTATATCCCTCCTCGTTCCGCTCATAACCTCCTGTATTCATTTCAGTGGCCTAACCTCCAGATCCAGAACGCAGCCCATCACTGACCTGCCTTTTAGTTCCTGAAAATAAACATTTTGTAATTGCACCGTCACCTGCGTTTCTCGTTTATGTGGGTCAAATGCATTCCTAAAACCGTGACACCCTGGACTGAAAGATCAACAGGGCATGCATGCACACAGAGCACGTGAAACAGAGGCTGAGGCTCCAAAAGATGTCACACCAATGGGGCCACCGCTGGGGGAAGTGATTGTGTGTTAGATTTTTTGTGTCTGTGTAGAGAACAGGAGTGCACGAGAAAAGAGCTATCCAGCACTCTCCTCTTGTATTCCAGACTGTAGCTCCTCAGTAGTGAGAGGAAAGCTCGGGGTCCTTCCTGCACACCCACAAAGGTTCTATCTATGAGGGGCCCGGGCTTTAGAGGAGGCCTTTTCGTGTTCACCTGTGTCCGGCCGGTGATTTACGACGTGGATGTGGAGGATTTAGAGTAGATTTCATTCCTCTTTGCTAAATCTCTCTCTCGTTCGCTCCCATTTATTGAGCATTTCAGCTCTCACCTCAGAGTATCTCCTCTGCCAGGCTTCCAGGATGGCTGCAGCCTTTTCTTCGTTCCAGTTGATGTGGGAAACTTCGTCGTAGCCCCGAAAGTGCTCAAACATCTGCTTGGGGAGTCATCAGCTGGAACATGGTCTGTAAGGCCTGG